GTTCTTCTTGTGGCTTGGCATAATTTCATAAAGCAGATGACAATCCCTGGGACTCGATTCTACTCAGGAGTCAGGCACTCACAGTTGACAGAATGAACAGGTCATATCTACAGAATGTTAGAGGTGAAACACTTATGGCCTTCTCTATGTATGGTGGCATCCTCCCAGACTCTGACTAGAATGATGGAGTCCAGCAACAAGTATAAACTGGGTGGATTTAGGATTCTGAAGGGCTTTTTCACCCACAAAACATGGGGCAAAAATGTAGACTCTGACTGGGGAGAGACTCAAGGAGCCCTGGGGCTCATACTTCTTAAAATTCCCACGAGAAGGCTGACATCTGGGGACTTCCCCCACAAGAGACAAATAGTGAGTTCTGTAAATGGAGACTTAGGTTCCTCGCAAAGTAGAGGTGAGGCTGGGGTCACAGCTGGCCATCAAGAGACCCATCCCAAGCACCGTGACTTCCCATCTCTCCCTGTCCTCCTCCACTCTACATCTGCCCCTATCCTCCTAGCCCTAGGACCAGCAGACCCAGAGCTGGAGCTTTGATGAGCAACCTGCTCACAAATCAGCCTGGAGCTGCAGTCTTGAGTGTCCAGGTGCACAGAGCTGTGCTCCAGGGCCTTTGGGAAGAGAATGTCAGTGGGACACCGGGGTGCACAAGGGTCTGTACAGCCCTGCTGCGTGGCCAGGTCTGCCCCTTCCAGGCCAGCACTGATGGCTTGGGGTAGGGTGGGGCTGTCCTCTACACAGGCAGGAAGAGGCCAGGGACCCAGAACCATGCAAGGGTGCCCTGGAGGGTTGTGTGGGAGAAGGCCAGGCCTCTGACTCAGCTGTCCACTCCATCACCAGCACCATCACCTCCATTTTGTTCACCTGGCCCCTTGAAAACACTTCAGTTTGCTATCAGCCCCCACAACGGTCATCTTTCCGGATAAAGCTGGCCTTCAGGAACTTCGCCAGGCCTGGATTGGGCGTGGAGGACCACCAGGAACTTGTCCTAGGCCAGTTGGTGCTTCCGGAGCCCAACAAGGCCAAGTCAGATGGTGAGGTGGCTTGCAGTCTGGAAGACTTTCCGGGGGTGGTGGTTTGGGGATACAATTCCCTTACATTCCATCCGGTCATTTCTGTGCTTGGAAAGCCCAGTGAAAAGTGACTGGTGTTGTGACCTTTTCTCCTTTTCCAGATCCTGCTCCACTTCCTAGGCAACACTCGTTAACAATGCTGGCCCTGGAGCCAGCACCACCACTGCTGGCGGACCTGGGGCCTGCTCTGGAGCCAGAATCACCTGCAGCCCTGGGTGCACCAGGATATCTACATTCAGCACCAGGACCAGCACCAGGGGAAGGGCCCCCTCCAGGGACATTGCTGGAGTCACAGTCAGCCCCAGAGTCCCCCTGTCCCTGTCCTGTAAAGAACCAACCCCCTGAGGAGCTGCCTGACATCACGACTTTCCCTCCCAGGCTGCTGGCAGAGCAGCTGACCCTCATGGATGCGGTGAGCAGCTGGGCTTTGCAGGCTGTGCCTCTGTCACCAGCTGGCTCAGACCAGCCTCTCTCTGAGGAGCGGCCAATGCCCTGGGTCGAATGTCAGCCCCACTTCTTACCAACCATGAGACCTGGATGAGTTTCCTCACTCACAAGTCTTCCCTGTCTGTATGTGGACAGCAGAGATGGGACATCGCCCATGCCAGCTACACAGAGTGACTATGCAGACTGAATGACAGGGGATGGATCAAAAGCAGGACAGGGCAGGTACTCACTGAGGCACAGGCAGGGCCATGGGTCAGTCACCCAGCTGCTCAGGAGCCTCACTACCCTCAGTGCTTATTAGGTACCTAATGCATACTAGATTCTATGGCAGACACCCAAATAGAGCCCATAGTTGCAGCTGCCACAAAGAAATTGCACCAGTATGGAGAGAAGGAGAAGAGGGCTGATTGGGATGGGAGGAAGACGAGGCCTTAGGACGGGCAGGCCTGAGCCACTTGGAGAAAATGTCTCTCTCTCTCCCCACTCTTGTTGGGTTCTGGGCCATAATGCATTCAGGGCCCTCGGTGGGCAGAAAATCAAACCCAGGGACTCCCACACATCTGGAGTCCATTTTAAACTTTTCTGAGCTCCACCTCGGTTCCTGCCAGAGACCATGGATGACTGTGAGCTCAGTCCCTGCCTGGGACCGTGGGTGACTCAAGAGTCGGGATGTGCTCTATCCGTGATACTCTCCTCCTCCCCAAAAGGAGCTGTTCAAGAAGGTGGTGCTCTACGAATGCCTCGGCTGCATCTGGGGTCAACAAAAGAAGAAGCAGAATGAGCACGTGGCACCCACAGTTCGTGCCACCATCGCACACTTCAGCAGGCTCACCAACTGTGTCACCACCTCCTGCCTCGGGGACCACAGCATGAGGGCCTGCGACAGGGCCAGGGTGGTGGAGCACTGGATCAAGGTGGCTAGGGTAAGCCATGGTTGGGCCTGAGGATTCCCTCTTTAAAAACGGGGAACTGTGTCCTCCATCGGCTTTCAGGATTGGCATCTGTATCTCTGGCCTGAGCCCTGCACATCCGCTAGGGCTTTTTGCCAGAGCTTCACTGACCTTGACACCCATGGCCCAGTGGGGGCTGCTCACTTCCGACCTGGGCTCTCCCTTGGGTTAAACTACAATCCTCCTAGATGACTGACATTCACTCGGCCCCAGGTGTCCCCTCCTGAGGCTCCCTGGGCCTTTGCTTCGACCAGGAGGGGAGATCTCAGCAGAGGGGGCTGAGGCTGAAGTGGGCCGGGCTCCAACTCTGGACCTCACAGCTCACTCTTCCCTCTCCAGGAGTGCCTAAGTCTCAACAACTTCTCCTCAGTGCACGCCATCGTCTCTGCTCTGTGCAGCAACCCAATACATCGGCTACACAAGACATGGGCAGCAGTGACTAGGTGAGGGGGGCTCTCTCCATGGGAGCACCTGGGTGGACCTAGGGACCCATAGGTCTCCCCATGTGCCCTCAACGATTCTGAAAGGTTCTTGGAGACCAGGGACACTGGAGGTAGGGATGGGCTGGTGGGTGTGGTCACTAAGCTGCCCTGGACTTCTAGGCAAGGATTTCCAACTCGGGACTAAGGATTTTTAACCATCAGGAACAGACTAGAGCCAACTGGAGGGTGTCAGGTGTTTGCACCCAGCAGTGGAACTGTGTCCAGCTGGAAGCTAACTGTGAACATGCAGGGGCTCACATGAAGTGGAGATGGGCCAGGGGAGGAGCATGACGGGTCCCACCCTGGTCCTCTGGAGCCCTTGTCATCAGAGCACCCCACTGGAAACACTCACTCAGGAAGTTGGGATTCTCTGGGTTTTCAAACAAAATGGATTGGATTGGAACTCACAAATCTGCCCAGTTATTCCCAAATTTACCCTTCTTTCTTTCCTCTGTCCATAGCAAAAGCACAAAATATCTAAAAGAACTCTGCGAAAAAGACACTGCAGTAAAGAGGGACCTGCTGATCAAGGTACAGTGGAGTCTGGGAGATGCGGGACAAGTGTTTAAGGGTCAGAGGAAAGAGTGAGTTTGGAAGGGCATTGGACCTGGTGTGCAGCGGTTATTTTTTGTTTTGTTTTGACTTACATACTAAAAGTGGACTTGAAAAATTCCCTCCACGCCTACCTTGGGCCAACAGGAAGAGAGGTGTGTGGGTCCGTGGGCACGTGGGGGCACAGGGGCAGGAGACCCTGGAAAATGGGATGTGGCAATGGCTGCTGGGCTGCGGAGTGGGGGTGATGAGTTGCAGCATTAGCAGGGTTCTGGCTCCCGTGCTGGTCCATCCTGCTGGCATGGAGCTTCCTCTAGGCTGGGGGGTGGTCATGGTAGGTGGGACTTTCTTCCTTCCACAAACTGGCCAGCAATTCCTGAGGAAGCCAGGCCTCTGCTGCTGCTTCTGTCTGCAGCGCATCTCCATGGGCAGGGGGCCTCTGCCCACACTGGGGGAGAGGGGGAACAACAACAGAGGAAGTTCATGTGCCAGGGAGTCCAGTGGGCCGCCCAGCTTTGGGTACCAATGGGCCTACTTGGAACAGACATATGTGTTTGCCGGGACTCCCTGCCCTGCCCTTTGCGGACACCCGAAAACGGTCATGTCACAGGATTCTCACCAGTTAGCAGTGACACAAGCTCATGACAAGTATCTGGGGGATTCATGCATTCCTAGGGGATCCTCCCTGACCAGATCTCAGAATCCTCCATGCAAATGAGAAGGCAACTTGTCACCCAACCCAAGATTCTGGAAAACCCAACCATGTCCATCAGAGAATGACACCTCAGGAGGCCACTTCCTGCGTGGAGGAAGAGAGTTCTGTGCACGGAACTCCCCCGGGGGATCATTGGCGAGGCAAAACCTTTGGCATGGCTCAAACCCAGTTTGTGTGGCACAGACTCCAGTGCGGCTCGGATAGGCAGGTGCCACCTAACCAGGTCTCCTAAACTGCCCTGTCCCTTTCCCATCACGACTGTGCCTGGCTGGAGACCTAGACACTCAAGAGATTCCAGAGAACATGACCATGATGGGCGGTGGTGCTGGGATATGGGGTGAAGGCAGTGGGACAGAGCTTCCAGGATGGAGAGGAGGTGCCTTCTCTTTCGGGTCTTTGAGGAGTCATTCCCCTCATCTGGAAAATGAAGAGATGCTGAGCCTGTAGTGCAGCCCTCACAGGATGGAAATGAGAGTCAAGAAAAGAAAATAATTTGCTGGCGCTCATGCCTAGTTCTTCCTCAGAGGGACGAGGGTGAGAACAATGGCAACAGCTACAGGAAAGAGTAGTCAGGTGGCCTTGTGAGGTACCTGTGGTTTTCATTGCTCTTTACAAAAGAGGATACAGTCTCAGGCAGGCCCAGTTGCATGATTGGGTGACACACACACGGAGTGTGGAGCTGGGCCAGTGGTATCAGCACCGTGCCAGGCGACTCACACCAGTCCCTGGGGATCCAAGTGTGGGGTGGCTAGGACGTAACTGGGGGAAGGGAAGAGAGCCTCACTGTCTCCGTCACTGACACCTGGCAGGCGGGGAGCTTTAAGATGGCCACCCAGGAGAGGAACCCCCAGAGAGCCCAGATGAGGCTGTGGAGGCAGAAGAAGGTGAGTGAGGCTTTGGCGTGGAGAGGCCGCAGGGGATCTGAGGACAGGGCTCCCTTCCCCGCCAGCTGGAGGCCTCCATGTCAAGACCACAGGGACTTCCTCCCCAGCCCTGTCCTCCTGTGGACACTGGGTCTGGAAAACCTCCATTTGAGAGACCAGAGCAAGGGTCTGGGAAAGCTGGACTCAGAGTGGATGTGGGGAAGGGTAAGACTGGGACCACACGCCCTTGTGAATTGTTAAAATCCCACCATAGAGGTAACTAGGAGTGCTTGCTAGACTTGGAGGTCAGCTGGGATAGAGGAGGCAGAGAATTGAGAAAGGCAGCTGAGTATCTTTGACTACTCCAACCGGGAGACCTGGAGAGGGGGGTTCTGGGAGACAGGGGCTGATGGGATTTCATGAGACAGAACCTTGGGCAGGCAACTGAGGGCCAATACTCATCACCACTACATGTACCAACTCCTCACCCATCCTTGGCACAGGGCGTGGTCCCCTTCCTGGGGGATTTTCTGACTGTGTTACAGAGGTTGGATTCAGCCATCCCGGATGATGTGGATGTGAGTGAGCCTGGGGCAGGCTGGTTGGGAACCAGGATCCTGAGGCTTGGGAGGACACGGTCGTGGACCGAGCCCTTAGATCTCAGACCTTGGCAAACCACTGAGAGCCTCACAGCTGCTCCTGTAGGTGGGGGTGTCAGGCCCATCTCATCACCTTTCGGTGATGGAGGCTCCATAGCAGCCACCAGTCCCTATTCCCGAGTGGTGAAGCTACAGAGCTGCCTGACTGCAAAGCTGCTGAGGTGTGGGCTGAGCTGGACTTAGCCTTTCCCTAGAGTAGTCCCGTAACAGGCCAGTGAAATTGAGCCTCTCCAAGGGCAGGCAGTTCCAGGGTCACTGAGCGCGCGCTTTCTATGAGAGATCTCAGTTTTCCTGTCTGTTATCACAGAGGGTTGGGGCAGGAAGTCCCTGAGCCTCAGCTCCTATGCCCCTGCTCTGGAGCCCGGAGCCTGGGGCAGAACCAAGTCCTGTCATGTGCACATCCCCTGACTCTGGTGGCCCTGGCAGTAATGCAGCATGGGAAGGGGTGGGGTGGGGTTAGTTGTGGGCCAGGGACCTTTCTGATGGGCTCTGTCTGCCTTCCAGGGCAACACCAACAAGAGAAGGAAGGTGAGCAGCTGGGGCACTCACGTTGGATGAGGGTGGGGACGTGGACGTCACAGTCCATCCTGGACACGACACTCCCTGGCTCCATCCTCTACATCTTAGGTTTAATGGGAGGGTTTGACACACACAGGAGGAGGAGACCTATCCCAGTGGAGAAAGCGGGAAATGGAATGGAATCAAAGACCAGTTCCTGCAGGAGGGGATGTTTACATCCAACTCTGAGAACAGGCTGGGGGCTGCATGGGGCCCCCTCAGAAAACTGCCCCAGGGATCAGCCCCTTCTCCCTGCCTACCAAAAGTGCTCTCAGCATCTTCCACCCAGGCCCTGTCAGCAACCTCTCCTCTGTCTCTAGGAGGTCCGAGTTCTGCAGGAAATGCAGCTGCTCCAAGTGGCTGCCATGAATTACAGGCTTCAGCCTCTTGAGAAATTTGTCACCTATTTCCCAAGAATGGAGCAGTTCAGTGACAAGGAGAGGTGAGGGCCTAGCGGATGGGCAGAGGGTGGGAGAAGGCTCTCCATTTTTATTTTTAATGTGGTCTGGCTCTGTCGCCCAGGCTGCACTGCAGTGTCACCATCTCTGCTCACTGCAACATCTGCCTTCTGGGCTCAAGCCCTTCCTCAGCCTCTCAAGCAGCTGGGACTACTGCGGTACACCATGTCCCAGGACATGGTACAGCATGTGCAGACACCATGTCCTGTTGTTCTGCTGTTGTTGTTCTGGTACAGATGGGGTTTCACGATGTTGTCCAGGCTGGTCTCAAAGTCCTGGCCTCAAGCAATTCACCCCACACAGCCTCCCAAAGTACAGGTGTCAGCCACCCCGCCTGGCCTAGAGGAGGCTCTCCTGTGGACAGCAGCAGAGAGCCTATGGCCACGACTCCATGGCCAGCATCAAGCCCTATTGCATGGGGATTGCTGGGGACCCAGGATTCCAGCTGGGCAGGCACTGAGAGGGGACCTGATGTGTGGCTCATGGTGGCCTCACAGCTGCCTCACTGTCCTGCAGCTACAAGCTGTCCTGCCAGCTGGAGCCCGAATCACAGTAGGCCAGTAACATCTTGCAGTGGCTGGGACCCCACCAGGATGCTGGTCAGAACACTGGCTCTGCATCATCCTTCACCTAGACCGTGACACCAGGGAACCACATCTAGGTGGCTGGCAGCTCAGCTGCATCTGGCCCCTGCTCTTCAACATCAGCTGCTCCCGCTGGCCAGGATCAGGCCATGGGACTTTTGCCAGGCAAGCGGGAGACCATTTTATGTTTATTTTCTTTAGTGTATAAGTAAGGGTTTTTTTCTTAACTTTCATTAAAATAAAATTTTAAAACACTATTCAAAATGTTCTATAGCTGTTGGAATGAGAAAAGTAACCTCAGTGCAGTAACTGTATACCAGTCTTCAGGATTCATAGTCCAGTATGTCAAATTGAGGCTATGGCTGAACAAGTCATGGAACAGCATTC